ACCTGCTATAATGACGCACACGTACTTCGCGATTTGTCTTGGGCTCTCAAAACAAGTTCAGGGAGATATTTTCAAACAGGCCACGACAGTTTCATTCAAAATTCCATTCATCATCATCTCATCTCATGACATATATATATCATCTACAATCGCTGCGGTCAACATTTGTATACATCACCATTCACACACACACATATATAAAATATATATACTTGGTCGTCGACTTACGACCGACTTCCGTTCTGACTGACAGGTCGTAAGTCGATCTGATCGTATGTCGGCCATATTATTTATTAACAGTATTGTTTAACCTTTCTAATCTTTTTATCATCTTTATAATTTATTTTTAAAAACTTTTACATTTTAATCATCTTTTATTTTTCATTTTTTTTTTGTGGTTGTAAGTCGAAGACCAAGTGTATATTGTATATGCACAATATATAGTGCGTACAATCAAGTGCGCGCCGCGGCTGCAATTTGCCGTNCTAAGAATGCCAGTGAATATGGCTTCGCGAGTGTGGATACAAACATTGATCGATTTCGTCAGGAAACCGAGAAACTTAATTTTGCTGTTTCATACCTGAGTCGATTTATTTCTCCCATCAAGACAAACAGGGGGACCATGACAATATTTTCACATCAACCGTTATAATAAAACGTGTCTTGATGGTCAAAAACGACATATATATGAGTCAAAGGAGCTAGAGTCATGTAACAAATCACTACAAGCCACAAAAATTTTTCATTGAATTGTAGTGCACAGTTCTCTAAACGGGCAAGCTAATCAAAAATATAGGTCTCCAACTGAATGTAATGTGACATGAGGGCTCAAAGACAAAATTGTGGAACTAGAAGAGATCGCCGTTGCTAGGGAACGGACCTGTAAAGTCAGCGTAACAGTGGAGGAATTGTTGGAAGGGGTTTTATATGCGGTCTGCTGCAACGGCTACGTCAAACGACAAAGCAGCTGCAAGAAAATGTTTTCTGTGCGCTCTCTACCTCAAGTCTCAAAAGGCGTGGCGCTGAAACGAATGATTGGCGGTAAACCGCAGTCTTAATGTAACTCTAACACTGAGCTACATCTGTAACCTCATATGAGGTACCACATTCCCAGTTGATATTTATCGGAGTGAGCGCGAAGACGGGTAAAATAGCGGGACTGTTGTATGAGTTAAGAAAGGCACCCCTCACACATTCGCAGACCTACCTCCTTTCCTTTCAGTAGTAGCAACAGGAGTCTGCATACCGACTGGAAACACTGAAATGTTCCTTGCAGCTGTTTATAATTCTCCATAAAGACTGTGGAGTGACAGCCATCAGAAAGCTATTAGGTTTTAGAAATAAATTTATCCTGGCAGACGACCTGAATGCAAAGCACTCACTTTGATATAGTAAAGTTTCAGACCCCTCAGGCTTGAAACTCTTGGAATTATATATCAGTTCTATCTTAGAAATTTCAGCTCCACAATGGTCAACGCATTACACGCCTGATGGTACAGATGAAATTCTTGACACTGTGGTACATCAGGATGTCCGACTGTCAGAGGCAACTGTCACTGACATCCTGGACTCAGATCACTTACCAGTAATATTTAGAATTCTGGACCCCTGTTATAACGAGGGAAACTTCAGATCCAGTTGAAAAACTGACTGAGACTGATTTCCAAGTCTCACCTCTGAACTAATATCTCCAAATATCCAAATTCACTTTTCTAATGAAACTGGTAAAGCAGTACGTGACTTTGCAGCCTCTATGGCTTCGGCACACAGACTACAAAAACTACAATTTTTGACTGTAAATACAAAATATCTGGCCTAGATCGTTTATTGAAGCATAACAGAAAGCTTTGAAAATTATGGCAAGAAACCAGGGATCAAGCATGTAAAACAGCAGTAAGCTGGGTCACTTGGAATATCACAAGAATGGTCTGGAAGGAGCATTTGAAAGATGGGAAACAAAGGTGAGGTCACACCTCAAGCAATATGACCTTTTGCGAAATCCCTCACAAAAAGGGGAAGGCCAAAGACACCAGCCACAATTCATGGTGCCTTATGCCCCATATTTTGTCCAATAGATAAAGCCAACGTAACTGCAAACTGCTTAGAAAACCAGTTCAGAGCACATGACTTGTGTGACTATGAAAACAGAAGACGTGTGGAGGCTAAAGGCTGGCTACCATCAATGAAGACGCCCCTCTTAATTTCCGACCCTGTGACATCTCAAAAGTAATATAATCCTTGAAATTAGAGAAGGCCTGTGGCTTCAGTTGCATTCCAAATGAATGTCTCCGACATTTTGCAAGGCCTCTCAAGCATTTAACACTGCCTTCGGTTTGGTCACTTCCTGACACCTTGGAAGGAAGCAAAAATAGAATAGAATAGAAACATTCATCATTGGAAACTACCTTCAAAAGCGCTGATGTGTCATATGACCACTGTTTCAAGATTTCTAATAACTATTTTTGCTGATTTTGAGGCATTTCTTTAGCAATTGCATAATGGAAGTAACACAAAATGTACTATGGTTATTTGGCTCAAATGATGATGTCATTCTGACTTCAACAGCAGTTCACTTTGTTGACATAAAAGCTGGAGCAATGATATATTCTATTCAACAGTATCTAAGGTTGGGTGGTTCCTACACAGGAAGTAATTCTTATGAATACACAGGAAGTTGGTTAATGGGTGGAGATGTAGCTACGATCTCTTCAGATCATTAAAATGCCAGTTTTAGAAACACAATGATGCAATCTAGAGCATGAAAAGTACAATTATGTGGGACGTTACAAGACTACAGAAGTGGCAGGGGTGATGAAACTGATGTAAGATTACATATTTACACTGACAAGCATTAACAGATATGTGAAATTTCCTGTTCTCATGGCTATGATCATGAAGAATGTGATGCCATCTGCTGAACGTTTTCTGACCTTTTGGAGGATTATATGGCCTTCAACTTCAGAACTGAAGAATAAATAAGCAGCAAGTGGAGTAAGTTGCTTATTGGTTGCCTTATGCTTCAGCCCTGAAGATGGAGGCAGTAATTCCTCCAAAACATCGATAAATATGTTCTTGGATGCATTAACTCACATCCCATGAGACAATATTCTTCAATTCAGAGCTAGTTACATACATGTTCACTGAAAAAATTTTCATCAGTTCAATGGTTAGGATGGTACATGTTGCACCTACTTATTCCATTTACTGGTGCAATATTTAGTTATCAGGCCCACACAGAAAAAACATATATGTTTTGGAGTGGAAGAGGACAAGGGGAAGAGAATAAATGAAGTTCAATACAATATTATTTTTTTATTGCTAGTGGGGTGGGATTAAGTCCCTTGTACTGTGGCCACTTCTGCCCTATTGTACCAGCCCCAGATTATAGGTACGGGTTATTGTGGAGCAATTGGTGGAATGAAGATTGGCAGGGGAAACCGAAGTACTCGGAGAAAACCCACCCCAGCGCCACTTTCTCCACCACAAATCCCACTTCGCCAGACCTGGGATCGAACATGGGCCGCCGCTGTGGGAAGCCAGCAACTAACCGCTTGAGCTATGGCGTGGCCATAATACAATATTATACTAAGATGAAAAAAAAATCTTGAGCAAGGTGACTGACTCACCTCTTCCAATGTCTTTGGTACCACAACGAAATAGTGTAAATTACATTTTTGTCTACTTAAATATTTTCTGAGCTTAAACACAATATTGATTCAGCTGAAATTGTTTACAGTGCCAAAAATATGAAATATAGGCACTAACATTTGTGCTAGTTCGTTCAAAATGAATGTGTATGATGCAAAATACAGTTTCTTTCATATTCCGGTAAAGTTTTTACAATATACTGTCTATACCTGAAGCTGACATGATGTTTAACATTTCATCCACGTATGAAAGATGTACACAAAAAACACATCACATATATATATTTATTACACCATTTAGTTCTTTAGGATAAAAACTGTACTTAATTTCTCAGCACAGTATAACATACAAGAAATATGACACAACATAAAATATTAACTCATTAAAATCTAAATAACTTTTCTCTGAAACATTTTTCAACTTAGAATACTAAATGAGATAAATGTGAATGTTCATCTATGGTTTTACATGAAGTTGCTGGCATAACTAACCAGTTCAGCCAAAGTTTAGATTTCACCCAAGAGTTTGTGTAAAACTGAATCCCATCTAAACCTAATACAAGACTCAAAAAGTTGAAGCATGTTACAGAAACAATGTTGCATTGCAGGAGGACAACATAATAGACATAATATTCCTACATGTACAGGGCACCTATAAACTGCATATGTAATACTGTTGTTGTCCGTTTCTTTTTAACAATTCTCTGTCTTATGAAAAATTTACGAGTGTTACCTTATAAGCCAAGGAACCATATTCCATTACTAATCTTATATAACATTTTGGCATTCATGAACTAGATTAGTTTCTATTATGACATTGACTGACTCACACAACAGTAATTGATCCTGAAGTGTCAACACCATTAACACCAAAGCCTACAATTGTATACAGTCCTGAGTCAGTTCTGTCTGCCTACCTATTACGTTAGGATCCACCGCCATTTTATTCTCCCACTTTGTTCTTAGTCTTCAAAACTTCCCAAGAGACTTACCAAAATTCTGTATTAATATACTGCCTCCATTATCCTAGCCGCACAAACCCCTCTGTGGTCTAGTGGTCAGAGTTCATGCCTACAGACCCAGAGGGCCCAGGTCCCAGCTGGCAAGAACAGGATCTGAACAGTCGTTCACAGGACCTGAACCAGCTTGTTGCGTCTTAATTAGAGTTGCCAAGAAAGCGACCAGGGACTTGACTAACAGAAATCACAAAAAGCACTGGGAATCAACAATTTGACTCAAAGAGGCAAAGGGATTTATATCAGGACCCTCTGCCAGAAGAATGAAGGACCTGTTGAAATTAAACAGAGATCAATTAAGATGGGTGGTAGGACTACTTACTGGACACTGCCACCTAAAAGGACACCTTTCCAAACTGGGGCTGACAGATGACCCAACCTGTGAAAGGTACCTACAAGAAGATGAATCAGCCATACATATCCTATTTGACTGTGGGGCCACAGCTTACTTAAGATATCGCCACCTGGGTCACTTCTTCATTGAACCAAGTGACTTTTATGATGCCCCTTAAATAAAGTCCTGCATCTCATTCCAAGTGTAGGAATAATAAAGGGTTAATCCAAAAGGGAAATACAATAGATCACTGAAGGTCGCAGTGTGAGGGCCGGTTTTTATGGCCCACCCCTTACACACATCCTAGCTTCACACCCAATCCACTGTAGCTTCATAGACTTCAATGACCTTACAACTGAAAAATTCCTCATTAGGTTTACTTAATCCTCTTGGATCCAAGTATTTCCCTGAGCACTTTGATTTGTAACACTCATAATTAATATTCATCTCATTAAAAATGTAATAAATTCTTTCTTACACTTCCTTTTTAAACTGTGTTCATTCAAAGACCTACCTTAACAAATCAGTGTAAATCAGGTCATTAGTCCATTGGACATGATAGCTTCTGTGTATCTTCTTTCAGAATTTTATTAACATGAAGGTCTTAACTGTCTTGATAAAAAGGTAAGAATATACCTAAGTATATACTTTATAGAATGAAAAGATAAAAAAGATTTTCCAGTGGATTATTAAGTCATATCTAACATTCATATATTCCTGTTTCTTTCTTAGTACTATCTGCACAACTAATGGCAATACAGTTGACCACATCAGGGTAAGGGCATGGTACATAGGCACTGCAACAATACCTTTTACAAATCCCACAAACAGTTCATTGAAAATTGTCCTGAACCCATTTACAGCACTTCCAACAACAGCTGTATGATTCCATGCTTCTGCAAATATGCTTCCAAATGTCAAATCCTTACTTGGATTCTTTCAGATGTGTTCCACAGGCTGAAGGTGGTGAGTGCAATGTTATGGAAAACTCAAGGAAAACTTACGCAAGTTCTGAGGTTCTCACAGCAATGGTTATGAAGAATACTCTCTTCTGGGATACGAGTATAACATTGTGTAGTCCGTTGAAAGTCAACTGACATTTTTGAGGAATATATCACCATCTTCGGGGCAGAATAAGCTCTGCAAGATACCAGTGTGAAAGCTCTGCTTACCACCTGCCTTCACACCGGTATCTTGCAGAGCTTATTCTTCTGCCCTGAAGATGAACACAAGTTCCTCCGAAACATTAGTTTATTTTCAACATATTACACAGCGTACACGTACACACAGAAGACAGTATTCTTCAAGGAAATCTTGTTTGCTAGTCCCATATCCAGTGTCGATGGTTCCAAACAGTGTGATCCATGACCACTGAGGTTTAAAATCACTGGTATAGGGGGTCTTGCCCCAATGAAATGGTCTACAAGCTGAAAAAAACTGTTTCCATTTTATGCAGCCACCTTCCAAAAGCTTGACTTCTGTTTCAGGTGGATTACCAATTTCTTAACTAGCACTGTACCACAGATCCAGTCTAGGAAACTGGGATTAACAGCAGGGGGAATCCGTTGCACTTACCATGTGACACCCTCTATCAGCAAAAATTGGCACTAACTTCGCTGAAAAGTGGCAGTCGCTCAGTTGGTATAGTTCACTTGTGGACTAAAAGCCGGAGTACCGTACCACTGATCTTTCACCATAACAAAAGGAAGAATGTGCTGCTTACTAATAGAAATATACCACAACGCTTACAGTTTCACCACTGTCAGAGTTAATCTGACTCACAACCTCTCTCCATCCTGGAAAATTTCTTTCTTTGGTTTGTATGTCATGGATCAGTCTCATAACAGCTAATCTTGGATAGTTTATCCCAAACATAATGAGTGTTCAATAAACTGGAAGGACGATCATAACATTTGCTGACTATTTTGATATTCCTGGGATGCAAGTGAATGATAAAGCTTCTACAACTCAAGACTGGGATATTTGTAGTAACTCAAAAACCACTGAGTCCTTTCCATGCCATCTATAAGTCACCGTTAAATGAATGCTTTGTACCATTTGTGAAAGAAAAAACAATACACAAGTCTAAGGACTTCTTTGTATGTAAATCCATAACCTATTCCATCCATCTTATGGAAGTTTACTAAGTAAGTTCTTCCATTTTTAGTTTAATAAATACAGTATGTTGTTCAAACCTCAGTATTTCTAAATGCTGTGCAAACCTTGGTATTTCTAAATTAGACAGAACTTCCTTTTGTAATGTTTCTTGGTACATGTTTGAATGGCAGCTGCTGGGGTAGTCCATCAATTTTAAATGTTTTATAGCAGACAGCTTAATTTCTTGAGTCCATTTAGAGCAATCTTTTTTTGACTGAAATTCCAAAACATAACTGTCAGAAAAGGGAACAAGAAATCAATATAGGTTAAGCAAATATATACTATATACAGGGGTCCAAAAAATGTACTGAATTTTTGATAGTCAAAATCTTTGCAACAAAATGACATGTAGTTACAATTCTCGCGCAGTAGTGTAGTGTAATGTTTTCTCAACAGATGTCAAAGGTCACAGGAGTCACGTGAGTGTCGTGTCACGTGCACGCTGCGAGCAGAAGACAGCAGCAACAATGGCTGAAAGGTTGTTCTTTGAGCAACGCAAGGCTGTATTGAAGTGGTACTGGAAGTACGAAAACATTAAAGAGGCACAACGACAATGACAGAATGAGTTTGGAACTCAGCCATCAACATGTTGAACAACTGCCCATATTCGGGATAAATTTGAAGCCAACAGTACTGTTCATGGTGTGCATAAGCAAGGACCTGGGCAACCACAGATAGTAACAAGTCCAGCTTCCAGTGCTGTGGTGTTGCAACACTTTACATGATCACCACAAAAATCTGTGAATCAGTGTGCATGCGAAAGTGGGGTAGCCGATCAAGATGGTGCTCCACCTCACTACCATCGAGATGTCAGGGTGTACTTGGATGACGCTCTACCTGGACGATGGATAGGTCGAAGAGGTGCTACTGAGTACCCACCATGGTCTCCAGACCTATCACCTCTTGACTTCTACCTATGGGGAACCTTGAAGGATGAAGTTTATCAACAAAAGCCAGCTTCACTGAACGCACTACAAGAAACCATCGAAGCGTCGTGTGCAGCCATCACGCCGGACACACTGACAGCCGTAATTCGCTCAGCAGTTCAGCGGCATCGATGCTGTTTAGCTGTTGATGGTGGTCACTGCAAACACATACAATGACTCTCTCTCTCTCTGCACAAGAATTGTAACTACATGTCATTTTGTTCCAAAGATATTATCAAAGAGTGAGTACATTTTTTTGGACCCCTCTGTATTTGGTGTTGGTGGTGCTCCCAGTCAATTATATTATGGAATCTTGCAGCTGTATAAGAACAGCGTGTTTCCAGTGCATACAGAATGTGAGTGAGAAGCAGAAAATACTTGCAAAATAGGTGACACCAACAAGGATCTTTTAAAAAAATCTACACAATGAAGAAAAAGGTGTACACATAAACACACAGTTCCATTAAAAACCACATGTTTAAAATACCACATAATTTCACCCTTTTAAATTAACTTAAAAATTTGTATGCCCTGAATACGATTACAATTAAACATCACCAAGCAGATATCATATGGATGGGCCAAAAGGCTTAAAAAACCCATATTCCAAAGTCACTGATCCTATAAAAAGTTGTCAGTTAAAACCCACAGCTCAACTATTTAACAGATACTAATTATATTGTTTTCTCATACTATGTACACTAATAAACTATGGAGAGGAGTCTTCCTTGAAAACATCAGTTGCTCAGCTACTCAAGAATTTCCCAACATTTTATGTAACCTGAAGGTTCACTACCATGTTCACTTGTCTCTGTCCTCAGCCAGATTAATCCAGTCCATACCACCTTATCCTATTTCTCTAAGATCCATTTTAATACTGTGCTCCCACATATGTCTAGGTTTTCTCAGTGGTCTCTTTCTGTCCGGCTTTCCCACCAAAATCATATAAGCATTTCTCTTCTCCCCCATGTGTGTTGAATGCCCAGCCAGTCTCATCCAATTTGAGTTTATCATTCTAATTATGTTTGGTAAGGTGTACCAAATTATGAAGTTCCTTATTATGCAATACTATGCACACATGATATTACAGACAGGTATCTCCCATTCCTAGCATATATAATGCAGGACTTCGCAATTACCAGTTATTTAAGCAAATCTATTTCATTATGATGAATATAACAGCACTTGCATATTGGAAAGTCAACATGTAGTACAGTATCCCCAGTTGCACCCAATGAAATACTTTTGTTCCTTGATTTCCACTGTTTACAATGATAAACTGCTTGTAGCACAGTGGGAGAAGTACATATAGAATTTTACTTAGAAAACACAAAGGGAGGGGACCACTTGAGAAACCTAAGCACACGCAGGAGGATAATATAAAAATTTATTTTAAAGAAATATGGTATAAGAGTGCAAACTGGATTCATCTGACTCACAGTAAGGCCCAGTGGTAGGATTTTGTAATGGACTTTCAAGTTGCATAAAGGGCAGGGAATTTGATTGTCTATTACATTTTCAAGATGGACTCTGTTCCATGGAGTTAGTCAGTTAAAAGAATAAATTGCAAGAACCTAGCATGTAAGCCTGTACTTTCTGACGCTCGAAACAAAAACAAGTGGTCGATAAGCATGTCTATAATCCAACATGCCTACCTAGTTTCAGTAGTATAGACAGCTTACGTGGCTTATAAATTACTGGCATAAAGCTTTCAAATCCAGTCTCAAAAAAATCTCTTGGTTCCCACAATTGAACATTTCAATAGACACACACACAATGCCAAGAAATCTCCTATGACAATACCTATCAATGTTACAGATACATACCACTGTAGCAAGCGCTCAGACTGTACTGATTTTGAAGAGACATTAAAACAGCTACATTTCAATAAGACAAGGGCCTCACTGTAAACCCATGACAATAACAGTGATCCTGGCTTATAATTAATTTCATGTTATATTTACTATTTCTTACATGGGAATATCATACTGTTATTCATTAACTGTCTTTGTTATTTTATTTTAGTAAATTATATGAATACATGGGAGGATACTGCTTCCATGGACAAAGTCTGAAATGAGAATTCAATGAGTGAAGAATGTGCAGCAACTTACATATTAGATGGTTCTTATGTAATGACGTGTTTAATCACTATCTTCCGCTATTAAAACTGCTCTTCCGCATCTGCTCCATCATCTTGTTTCTTTAGCTACAAAACAAAACAGAAGCAAGAAAGAAAAATATTATGCACGCAGGATATTGTGGTTAACTCTTACTTACTCACTCATGGAGCTGAGCCCTTCTTTAGGAGAAGCCAATTTTGCAGCTACTCAAGACTTTCCCTGCATTTTATGCAACCTGAAGGCTCATTACCGTGTTCACAAGAGCCCTCCACTGGTCCCTATTCTGAGCCAGATCTATCCAATCTATACCATCCCATCCTGTCTCTCTAAGATCAATTTTAATATTGTCCACCCACCTACACCTTGGTCTTCCCAGTGGTCTCCTTCCTTCTGGCTTTCCCACAAATATTCTATACGCATTCCTCGTCTTCCCCATTCGTGCTACATGGCCTGCCCACCTCATCCTCCTTGACTTGATCATTCTAATTATACATGGAGAAGAATACAAGTTATGAAGCTCCTCATTATGCAGTTTTCTCCAACCTCCTGTCACTTAATCTCTCTTCGGTCCAAATATTCTCCTCGACACTGTGTTCAAACACCCTCAGTGTATGTTCCTCCCTTAATGTCAGAGACCAAGTTTCACACCCATATAGAACCACAGCCAAAATTATAGTTTTGTATATTTCAATTACATTCTCCTGTTTTTGATTCAGGAGGTCATGTGCTAGACTACTGGCACAGTCAGCTTTCCTGACTGAGGAATTCTGTGAATTTCCCCAGGCCCTCCTGGGAAATGCTGAGCTAGTACCTGAAGAGTCAATGACTCTATTCATCCATTCCATGCTGTATTAATTTATGAAAGTCAGAGATCATTATTAAATAAATTACAAAAAACAATAATGACTTGGTTCTAAAAGATTCTGACAATAACGTATTACACTTGGGATTACTGATTTTCTGGACACTGTCCACTATCTCATTTTCCTGAGAAGATGGATGAAGTTCACAAACTAAGTAATCCCAAGAACAGCAATGATATTCTTTTCTGGAGGGGGGAAAAAAAGGCTTTAACTCTTTGCAGCTTGAATATCTTATGAATATAGTTTAAAAATTCAGTTCTCATCTCACAGAAAACATACTGTTTGTCCATTAAACATATAAATTGGTTAATGCTGTTTAGAGAGATAATTGCTGTTTATTCTGAGAATCATAAGAACTGCATAAATATTACGTAGGCAAAAGAGAGCTTTTCTTAAATGTTATGTACTAACCAATATGACTCTTCACAGAGAAATGGAAATATATGTCAAACATATATGAACACTCAGAATTAAGCACAGACAACAACAAACACAGTTATTAGGTACAAACTCAGTTGTGCATGTCCTGCAGTGACAAAGTATTATTTGGGCCAAACCACACAACTCAGTAACAAAGAAATGAAGTAGGAATGTTTTAGAAAAAAAAAAGCCCTTGTTATACACAACAATAGTAATGAATCACATACATAAATATTTTTGACATCAACACTGGCTGAAGCTGCTATAAATCCAAAGGGATTCTATTAGAGAATTACTATTCTCTAATAGAATCCCTTTGGATTTTATTAAATACACAATAATTATCACAGATGATTAAAATCAATTTCAGTTTTAGTCAGGCATATACAAGCCATCAACAAGAAAATATCACAAACAAAATATAAGAAGGTGACTGTTTTGCCATTACAGTGTCAGATTTTGAATTACTTTCTTATTTTTAATATTAGTAGTGATGGTTTTTGCTATAATTGTACTTACATTATGCAAACAATTATTTCTTAGCTTGCTGTAAAGGCACTCAGGTACAGGCTTGATTGGCTGATGGCCTGTTCTGTTGTCCCAGTGAACACTGACTCCTTCAGTTTCCTAGTGATCCTATTACCATCTTGATGAATGACTTCTGCTGTATCCATTTCATTTCATGGTCCTGACTCTAGGAGTGATCTACAATAGACTTGGATATTCTCCCATTTTTGTGTTGCATATATCTTCGGTGAATCACTGAACTTCGTATTCAAAATGTCCTGGATTTGATTCTGATTACCACCACATTTAAAATATTTGGCAAGAGTAAAGTTTTTCCTGTGCTTAAATTAAAGTCCATGACATATAACCAATTTTCTAGTTCAGAATTTGAATACAATCACTGTATATAATCTACATTTATTACATAATGTCAAATCAGGCTTTCATTTTCCAATATTAATCAGGATAATTAAATTACATTTGAACTTCCATTAAAACATGGACACGTCATATATGTGACCTATGTAATGCAATAACAAGAAACCACAACACTCAACCAAAAATAAAATTCTATGGCAAATCTATAAAAAGCAATATTTTTAGAGCGGAGATGAAATTTATAATTACAACCCTGAAACATCATCATCTTCCAAATATCTTTTTTTTTCAGTTCAAGTATATTCTTACTATCATACGAATTAATTCAAAACGTATGATCCCTTCTTATTCAAGACATGAATATTGTGATCCAATTTGTAAGGAATGCAAAGTAAAGAGTAAGAACTGGATATAGTCTTCCCTTTGAAAATGCAACTGTTCAATGACAATATTCCAAACAATTTAATTCAGGAGTGTTGAAGACATGATGTTTATGCTAAAAATATTTATATGCATGTAATCTAAAATTTGGAGAATAAGTACCAAACAAAGAAATCCAAGAATTTTAGACCACTTCTCATTCATATAAATTTAACAAACCGCAGATATCCAGAGAAAAATTACATGCATCAACATGGTTTGAATTTCAATGTTCATTACCTGTAGCAGATAATACAACAATTGTGGTTTCAGTGCTGCAATACTTCTTCAAACACCAACAACAAACCAACTTACATCAGTTGTCACATACAAGTTATAAAAAAGGAGATCTTTTTGGTTGCTATTATTGACCTACACATTCCACAAATCAATAGCTATTGTACAATAAACAGATAGGAAATCTGTAAGTGCAAAAATTATATTTGCAACAAATAAAAGTCAATGAGCTACAAAGCTAAATATATTCTGAAGTGTCTTCAATAACAGACAAACAACATACATAACTTAAAACTCAGCAGCAGCAGCAGTAGTAGTAATAGTAGTAGTAGTAGTAGTAGGCATGGTGGTGGTGGTGGTGGTAGTAGTAGTAGTAGAGTAGCACAAACAGCCAGGTCATAAAGAGAATAAAGCAAGAAAAAGCAGCACACACTTCCAACATAAGTTATACAAAACACAAAAAATTACATAAACAATAAAACTTTTCCTTTGATTTATGAACACACAAGTGTAAATGCATTGGTTCTTTGTTGTATCACATTGTTTTGAACAAGACATGAGTGAAATGCACAACATTCCAAATTTTGTACCAATACTTAACAATATTCTTGACTGCTGCTACATTACAGAACACTACATGTTTTGACCAACATTGGTCATCTTCAGGTGTCTCTAAAATTGCTGATGAAATTGCTGTGCTTCCATTTGTAAGTTCAATTTTTGGGACATGCCTTCATCTGTGCGCCCATGTGTCCTATGGTGATGAGTAGTCCCTTTTGTTTTGTGTGTAGCTGTTCATAACAGCTTCTGTTTAAAGCTTTAAAAGGTTTTAAAAAGCAAGCTGCATGTAAGATGGCTAATAACTAACAGCAACAAATAAGTAATGTGCAACAGGATGATATCATACGACATTATGACAATGTAAAATGGGACCATATCAGTTGAAACATGTAGAGTAGAACTCATCATTACACTGATTTAACTGCAAGTCATATTAGATAGTTTTTTTTAATTACAAAAGACAAGCTGGAACAATGGCAACATTGAAAGCCATTAAATAAAACCTGTTTATTGCAGTCCTTGTGGTCTTCAGGTAATAACAGCTGAATGTGATTAAACCTTGAGACTACTTACATTAAAGTCAGATGATTATGATTTACATAACTGGACAAAAACCATTCAGTTCAGAATGGTATGTCTTATATTTTGTAACATTTGACAAAGGGCCCAAAGAGGAAGCACACATGGTATAATTTTAGCACGTCATACAGTTATGACTTCAAATCACTTCCATTAAGAGATCTCTAAGTGAAACAATGCTATATTTTAAATGCCAGACTTTTTAATATAGGTCAAAATAAATCTTCACTGTATTTACCATATATTTTAACACTGCCACAATCCTGCTACATGTTATAGTATATATATTTTCTGATTTGGATAATCTTTAAATGAAATCTGTACGGTTTGAAATAAAAAAAGGCTTAAAAATCAAAATAATAACTGATATAAAAATCTCCCTAGAAATTGCGGTACTCACATTTAATTGTTGTCTATGATTATCTATCATCCAGATTTGAAGTTTAATCGTAGAGTACTACCTTATGGGTTATAATGCCATGTATCCCGTTGAAAGTCAACCAATGTTTCAGAGGAACATATCACCTCCATTTTCAGAGCTGATGAATAACCCAAGCAAGATACCAGTGTGAAAGGAGGTCGCAGGTAGGCTTGCCACCTGCTTTCACACTGGTATCTTGCTCGGCTTATTCTTCAACCTTGAAAATGGAGGTGATATGTTCGTCCAAAGTGTCGGTTGACTTTCAATGGGATACATGGCATTATAACCCATGAGATAGTACTCTTCATAACCACTTCTATGAGAACCTCAAATCCTACACCAATCTAAATCATTTGTGGGAGAGGATCATACATAAACCTGAAAACACTAATTCAGGTCTCCAATGAACAGTACAAAAACAATGACAATATCTTCTGTACTACCTATTTTATTAATATTGTCTTGGTTTTGCCTTATCCAATGGACTCGAAAACAATTCTTGTACTTGTGCATTTTAAGAACACATCTTTTCCAGACAATTCAGAGTGAGCAAATTCTGAATGCAGATAAAATCATCATCTGCAAACTGCACTGATCTGCACAAAACCATAAGCGCTCTGAAATTTTTACATTAAATAAACAGTGTCAGATTCCTCTGATGTAACTGTGTAACTGCATTTAATACTTGCTTCACAGCAAG